GAGCTACGAGTGAAAGAACTAAATTACATGAAACTTCCGTTGGGCTTGCTTTTAAAGTCAAGCTCAGTTTAAGATTCACCCTGTAAATAGAAACAGTGATGGGAGCATTAACAAACCTGACTCAGATGTTTGGTGTTCAACCCAAACCATCTAGGAAAGCTCCATTGGAGCCATTTGGGAAAAGTATTTCCAAAAAGACTTGGCAGTGATTGGATCAAATCTGTCCTATCATGGGCCACTTCTGATTGGTTAACAATGGCTGGGTACATGAGAGCACGCACTTCTGATTGGTGTGGATGACTGACACACGAGAAAGAACGAAAAAACAAAAACAGAATCCGCAGGCTTTGCGATTTGATAATTGCATCATTTCAAATCGCGAGTTCGATTTAAAAATCGATGAATCGTTCAGCCCTAAGTCACATGTGTGTATATGTGCAGGGATTTGACGAGCTAGGTTGCAGCATTTGGTGGAGTTGGGTTTGGTGTGGGCCCAAGCAGCCAAGCAGTTAATGATGGCGTCCTCCGAGCGTGCTCTGGGACTTTGGCGTAGAGAGAGAGTCCCGAGCCAGCCTGTCCCAAGCCAAGCCTAAGGCCGGCCAACTGGGGCGGGGGCTTCCTCTACTTCTCTTTCCAAATGAGCAAAGCCTTTTAGTTTAGTAGAAGGGGATTGGGGGGCGGGGGGAGGCAGAAAATGAAGGACCCTGTTTTGACGTGCGTTGAGATGAGAATATCAGGCTCATTCAATCCCCGAGGGTTCAGAGGAGGAAAATGTCAGGAGGCGGGGGGAGACTCACGATGGAGTTTTCATCTGGGCTTCATTCAGTGGCCGTTGAGTTCATTCATGAGATAATTCCACAACTTGGTGGACAGTTGTCAAATTCAGTATAAAAAGGTCAAAGATATCAAGTGTTTTCTCCAAACCAGTTGCCCTCTACGCATGCAATTACTTTCAGGGATTTGATGTGAGGTACAGGAGAAAATGGGACCGTTTTTCAGGGACACATCGGGGTTTTTTTTTCTCAACTGAGCAATATGAAGTTTATGCAATGGAAAAGATGTAGCTATATTTTGTATTAAATGTAATATTTGATAACAGATCATGTCACATGTATATTTGTCTCCAACAGGTATGTACTGTCCAAAGGTATTGACAAACAGCCAGGTAAGACAATGTCAGAGTGGAGCAAGGGCGAGAAAGAAAGAGAGGGGGGGGTGTGACATGCAAAGGTTCCAAGGCTGGAATTTAAAACCAGGCCATTGCTGTTATATGGCAAGCAATGTAACTCAGCTAACAAGCACCTCCAGGTTATTGCATTTTGTGCGACCTTACCCTTCTTGAAAACGCCTGTTTGCAGAGGAAGAGACTGTACACAATCCCCAGACATTGCAGCTCTCTAGAATTCACAAAGACAGGCTCACCTTGGTGCTGGCTACTCCGATCTCGGGCCCAGCGTTGATGTGGACTCCGCAGTCGGTCTCCCTGGAGATGGAGCTGCCCACAGTGTTGGTGATTCCCACGGTCAGAGCTCCTCTCTCCTTAGAGTAGCGCAGGGCCATGAGGGTGTCGGCAGTTTCCCCTGGAGGATGAGCAGGAGTAGAAAATCATTTAAAACAACGGTTTATGCAATGGAACAGAAGCAACAGCTCTGACAGTATAGTAATGCTGATGTATTAGTTGGTTAGGAAATAGCCTTTTCACTAAAACGGGGCTGATTTGAAACAGCTTAACCGTCTCACAAATATCAGACACATTCAGAAGGCTGCAGCAGAACAGAGGGAAAACTCAGCTGTGCTGCAGACGCTTTACGAGGCTCAAGATGAGCATAAGAACAGATCAATCTTCCAGGAGGGGAAAGTGGACAAATGGGGAATGTGTATTCAGATGAAGTCCAGATGGCACCCGCCTGCTCACCTGACTGGCTGATGAAGAAGCAGACGTCGTCTCGGAAGACGGGGGTGTTTCTGTCCAGGAAGTCACTGGCCAGCTCCACCATGACCGGCAGCTCGGTCAGCTCCTCCAGGACCTGCCGGGTCTGGGGAGGAAAGAAAAAGCACTGCTCGGCATCATCCAGCTCACAACAGAAAAGCGTGCTTAAACCTCACCTGTGTCCACATTACAGACACGACCGGCTAGTTAACGTGTTATAGACAGACATGTTTCCCGTAATGTGCGTTTACACCAAAGAAGAGAAAGCATTAGGCGAGAGGTTACTCACCGCTACCCCAGCATGGTAGCTGGTCCCGCAGGCGATGAGGATCAGCCGCCGACACCTCTGGATCTCTTTGATGTGGTCCTTCAGTCCACCCAGGGTCACTGAAAAGCAAAACAGCTAATCCATCATGCTACTCTATTAGTTTCCAACTCATTACAAAAAGGTCCGCCCAGAGCCCATGAGGGAATCTTTTAAGAAGACAAGTGTGTAACTCATTCAAATGTTCTTAAGCACATGTGTAGCTCATCTTGGATACATACTTAACTTCCCTTGTGTTCAAACTAAGATGTTTATAACAAAGTGACAGCAAGGCTAGTCATCTGAACAAACTAATAAATGTGCTTTGCTTTGAATACATCCTTAACAAGAGGCATTTGAGCATGCGTTTCAGCATCATGCACGGTAGGACAGAGCAGAAAATAGTGCACCCATTAGCCGTTTTATTACGTGAACGCCCGACTGAGCAAACGAACCTGAGTTGTTCTCGAAGTTGAGTCTCCCCCTCATGGTATTGACCACAGACTCGGGCTGCTCAAAGATCTCCTTCTGCATGAAGGAGCTGTAGTTGCCTGTGGTGGGAGGGTCAGAAATCAGTTCAACCTTTCCACTCTTGAAGAGCTTTGATGCCTCTTAAGAACACATTGATGGACTTTTTTTATAAAGTGTGAGCCCACATGTGACCGTCTGAAAGGGTCTTCTCGACACAGATTAAGTGCCTGAAAAAGCAAACCACAAGCTCCTGGAGAAGCATGAACATCTTTACAATGTGTTACTGATAAATCAGGCTTTGTTTGGAACGTGGGGAGTTACTGTTGCTTTGTTAAAGTGGTCAAAGGGTAAGGCATCCTTTAAATGTTGTAAAAGCAAACATGAGACAAAGGGAGATAGTGTTTTTCCATCAATAATAATCAGTGACACTGAACTATGAGAGTGTTTTTCGAGCCAGCCACTGACAGCAATTTGGGTCATGCCATTTTGGTTATTCAGCAGAAAGGCTCCAGAAAGTGAAACGGAGGAAAGGCTGAGTAATGACAGGACCACAAAGGAATGTAGAGAGCAGCCAGCATCAGTTTACCTCTGCCCTCTGCTGGATTACTCGGGAACAGTGAGTGGAGAAGGAGGTGATTTAGAAAGTCACATTTCTCTTTGTGTGGACGGCTCAGAGGTTTAAGTGTTCACAGCTATCTGGGATACGCAGAGTGAGGCACGTCAGCCATTTTATGCAACATTTCAGCCGGATAATTAACACATGTTTTTATTCAATCAATATGTCCTTCTTTAAAACTGCAACGATTAGCTATTTGTTTTTCCCAGGTTCTCACATGAGGGTGTTCTGCTCCGTTTGCAACCATGAGCTCTAAAGCTTGCTCTAAAAATGTCCCCACCCTTTGGCGGCCTCAGTTTATCGCCCAGAGAAACATTTGGAATGAGATCAAGTGGATGTGAGGTTTTGTGTGAACGCATGAATGCTGGATAGCTGTTTCCAAATTGCACTTGTTGTCATACAGAACGGTCTGGCTTTGCACTGCTGTTTGGATAAAATACCAATGTAAAGACATCACTGGGTCCTGAGAAGTGGAGACAGCCGTTTCCCCCACTTTTGACTAAATACATGAATTAAAAAAAATATTCTGCAGATTAACCAATAATTTAAAAAGTGAGATCATAACAATGCAGCCATAGTCCAAATTAGGGCTGAACGATTAAGCGATTTGAAATGACGCAATTATCAAATCGCAAAGCCTGCGATTTTTTTGTTTTGTTTTTTTGGTTCTTCTAGTGTTTCAGTCATCCACACCAATCACAAGTGCTGTGCTCCACATGTACCAGCCATTGTTAACCAATCAGAAGTGGCCCATGATAGAAGGTGATAGACAGATTGATCCAATCACCTGCCAAGTATTTTTGAAATACTTTTCCAAATGGCTTCCAGTGGAGCTTTCCTAGATGGTTTGGTGAAACAAACCATCTGAGTCAGGTTAGTAATGCTCCATCACATGTTTCTATTACAGGGTGAATCTTAAACTGAAGCTTGACTTTAAAGCAACCCAACGGAAGTTTCATGTAAGTTTAGTTCTTTCACTCGTAGCTCGGGCTGCGCGGGTGCTAGAGACGGGAGCACGTTGATACGACCTTCCTAGCCGGAGGTATGGCCGCATTTTACAATAAACTTCCGTTGGGTCGCTTAAAAACAAATATCGCAAATCCAATCGCAACATCTGTCAGAAAAATCGCAATTAGATTATTTCCCCAAATCGTGCAGCCTTAGTCCAAATTAAAAAGGAGTATTTTCCCCTTTTGAGGGGAGTTATGTGATATAACTGATACCTCTCTTATGTCTGTAGAGTAAATATGAAGCTGCAGCTAACATGCACTTAACTTGGCTTAGACAAAGAGTGAGAACAGAGGGAAACAGCACGAAGAGGCAACCAGCTGAGACCCTGGGAGGTTATTGGTCCCAGCCAACAATCTCATGTGAGGTTCGAGCCATGAAAGTCCCACTTCTCATCCAAGTCTCAACAATAAATAAACTTCTCTTCAATTACAGCTCAAATATCCACTTTAAAACTCATTACCCTTTGTTTAATTAACAAAGCTATAAACATTCAAACATGCTCCTCTGTACTTCTATCTTTTGACTGCACTAAATGTCAGCTCAGGCTCAGATAGGGAAGTTGAGGGCGATACATTCCTACAACAATCATCGTATTGACAGTGGCTGGCCTGGGAGTGCAGCTGATACAGTGGGTTTGTAACGAGCTGGATGATAAGAAGGGCGGCCCTCAGGGCAGGAAGTTAACAGCCAGCTCAGCTAAACAAGCAGTTCAAACAAACAGATCAAAGACTTGGCCCTCCACTCACCCTTCATGATCTGCTGCAGCTCCATCTGCAGGGTCTGGATGGCGCGGGCTGGATAGTCTCCGGCCGTGCGCTTTATCCTGTGAATGGACAGACGGCCTTCCACCACGGCGGCCACATCGTCGTCCTCCAGGAAGATCACCCGGTTTGTGTGCTCGATCACTGCGCTGTGGCGACAAGAGAGGCGAGCGGAAGACAACGTCAATCATTTGATTCAAAATGAAGTCTAAAAAGGAACTTCGGTGAGAATCTTTGAAAGAAATCTAATTAAAAAAGGGTGATGCAAAGATGTGGGTATGTGCTAACCTTGCATCGGAGGCAAAGTAATACTCGACAGATTTCTCATCCACAGGGAACAAGCAGGTGTCCCGGTCCGACCTGGGTAGGGCAGTGCAGCCTTTCTTGTCTTTAGTGGCTGAAGACAAAAATAAATGAGCCTCAGTCACACTTCTGCCATAACACATGGATCATTGAGAATACAAACTGAAACTTACTGGAGCGGTAGACCACAGGAATATGATCTGAGGACAGCTTGTGATCACACCTCACTCCCATCAGCAGGGGACTTCCCCTCCTACACAGAAACTATTTTATGAGCAAACAAAACTTCAGTCTGAAGTAGTTGCCATACGTTTGACAGCATCAGTAGGAATGTACCTTGTGCCAACTGCCTCTCCGGGGTAGTGGACGCTCTTGAAGACCAGGGCAAAAGCTCCTTCCTGGTGAGGGGGTAGAACAAATCAATCAAGACAGGCTTTTTAATCAGCTGATCAATATAAGAGCAGCAGTGTGCATGAGCAGGTCCTCACCAGCTGCTGGGTCACTCGTTCCACCAGTGTTGCAAAACTGATGTCGTTATTCTCCCTGTTGTCAAACATGTACTTCACCAGCTTGGCAATGCTCTCCGTGTCAGTCTCTGACTCAAACTCGTAACCTTTGCTCTCCTGTGGAGGTGGGGAAAAAGAGTTAGTCCTGTTTCATATCAGAGTGGTCAACAAATGAAAGAAATGTATGCTTACCAAGAATTTCCTCAGGTCTTTGTAATTGGTGATGATTCCATTGTGAACGACAATGAACTCTGTAGACCAGAAAGATAAACAGAAACTTTAAGACACCTGAAACCAGATCAAAAGACCTGAGCTGTAAAAATATTAAGCTTTGTGCTAGCTCTCAATCTTCAAACACAACTGACCATTGGTCTTGTCAGATCGGTGTGGATGGCTGTTAACTGGGCTTGGCGCACCGTGGGTGGCCCAGCGGGTGTGAGCAATGCCCAGATGGACGTCAAACTCCACATCCATTTCAATATCCTGCTGCTCTAAAAAGGTCAGACAAATATAGGAGTGTTTAGTATCCAAAATGCACCAAAGTATAAAGAATGAAAATTCAGTTTGATTCACGGTACTTACTGTTGATCTCCTCATCAAGCATCTTCACTTTTCCACGTTGCTTGATCAGTTGGATAGACTTGGCATTTGTCTCCCAGTCCTTTCCATTTCCAGCATCAATTCCCACACCTAACCAAATACAAATAAATGAGCATGAGAGTGAATTAGAGTGCATGAAGTATACAAAAATGTATATGATAACTGTATGGTCTCCCACTTGTTGTGGTCCAATGCCAGAACAGAACTCCTACATAACATGCAGCTACATTTAACCAAAACATTAGAACAAAACTTCTTCACATACAGTACATAGTCTTCACATACAGTACATAGTCTTCACATACAGTACATAGTCTTCACATACAGTACAGTCTTTAGTACATAGCTACATTAATGGTGCGGTAAGTGTAACCCATAAACACAATAACGGCTGTTCAATTATTTAGGGTCAACATCAGTCTTGCTTGGCGGGAACAAAGAAAAACAAATGGTGATAAGGCGATTCTAACGCTGCATTATTGTCCAAATAAACACACTTCACCATCAGCAAATTGGGTATTATCAGAAAAAAAGCTCTCCTGGAAGACAGTAAGGGGAACGTGAATAAAGAGGCCTGATTACAAAAAGTGTGTTGTTGTTGTTGATATGAGCTTTTTAAATGCCTCTCACCGGCTGAGTCGTAGCCTCTGTACTCCAGTCGGTGCAGACCTTTGAGGAGGATCTCAAGGATGTCCCGACGAGTCCTCGGCACATGGTAGTTGAGATATGCAAAGATTCCTGGGCAGAGGAAGGAATAGAATATCAAGCCACTGAAGATGTAAGGAAGAAAAATGACTATCCCTGTGAAATGGCTTAGCATAATAATACGACACTATAAATACATTTTTTGAATATATATAGATATGTGTGTAGATTATCAGGAAATAAAAAATGTGTGCAAAAAAAGAAATAATCTGTGTTCTACTGTCATTACATGATACTAAAATCTTATTGGAATTGTTTATTTGTAAAACTTTAAATGATTAAATATAAAAGATATTGACAATCCAACCAACACTTACAATAAGAATGAATATGAAAATGCGGCTGATGAAACCAATGAAAGTGTAATGTGATTCTTACGAAGTAGGACAGGCTCTACTTTGAGATGACAGCCACCCTTTATTTACAAGTCAATACATTGGAGGTGTGTTGTGCATAATGCACAAAACCAGTCTAACAGGAGCACAGACTAAACTAAATCCTTGGCAGTAAGACCTGCTTAGAGACAATTGAGTATATCGATAGGCAATGGCATGGGTGTTTCCCAAGCTATTATCTTCTGTCTAGGGAGCGAGGTGTAGGTGTCACAACAACACGTGACATCTCATTCAAAATATTCCTGTTACTCAACGGTGCAATAACCGACCCTCATCAATCACTATTTTAGTGTTTCAATGACACATTTCAGCAATAATCCGCAGTCTTTCCTGCGGGTACTTCGGACTCCTCTGCCAGTCCAGCAACTTACTCACACTGACTGACTGTCACCTTAATTAGCCAAAGGGGGGAAGGAATGAAATACAGCCCAGCTGCACAGCTAAGCATTAACAGATACATGCAAATGTAGAGCCAGAGAGCTGCCTGCTCCAACAGAGCATTCATTCAGATCAGCAGGAGACGGGGGGGAGGCAGTGAGGGGAATCTCAACAGGAAAGTGTTGCAGCAGCAGGCAGAAGGCACAAGACCAACCTTTGTTAAAGAAATATGTTGATCATAGAAAACTGAACCCGAGGAAAGTGGCTTCTTGCATACATGTCAGTAGATAATGAAATAGAAGCATGTGTCTTGGTTCCCTGAGAAAACCAACTCGTTTATCTGGTCTGATTGTGTGATTGAGATTGTAGTGACCGTGATGGGAGACAGAGAGACATCAGCTATCAGGCGTGAAAGAAGAAGACAATCAGGGACATGGACAGGTACTTGCAAAGTATCTCAAATACATTTGCCAAACTGATGATGACAAAGGAGTTGTTTTCCGTATACTTTATCGATCAAAGTTTAAAGTAATGACATCGGTATGACCAGTGGTGTAAAGTAACTCATTTTGAGGTACTTTACTGATTAATTTCATTTTATGTTAGTTTGTATTTCCACTCCACTAAAATTCAGAGGTAAATATTGGACTTTTACTCTATTACTTTTATGTAGTACCTTTAGTTACTATGCAGATATAGATGAATGATAAACAATATGATCAACACTTAATTAAAACTCAAGTTACAACATGCTCTTCCTACCCAACAGTAAATAAAGTAATTCAAATGAGTTCCACCTTGACCAGCTTGATAAACACATTAATACATCAATGATTTTAATGACAACATATAAGATAGGATTGTGAAATGGGCTTTATGCATAGCGAATACTTTTCTTTGGATACTAGGTATATTTTGATGCCAATACTTTTGTACTTTTTCTCGAGTAACATTTTGAAATACAGGACTATAACTTGTAACCAAGTTGTCATGCTCTCTGCTAGTTCTACTTGTATTGAAGTACACAATCTGAGTACTTCTTCTACCTCTTAAGAGAACAAACCAGAGTGACAGACGTGCAGTGGAAAGTATAGAGATGGACGTCATGTCACCGCAAACCACGTAAACTGCGTTGACAGGATGAAACATCATATCCCTAGATATTGACTTGGCGTTAACGTCCAAAAAACACAGATATCATGTGACGTTGCAGCAAAAGGACACAGTGGTTTCTTTATATTTGGATAGCTAACAGCATCTCATGTAAGCTAACTCGGGTTAGCCACCCTTTAGCTAATTTCAACTGACTAACCTTTAGCCTGAGCCAATGATGCTAGCAGTACTTACAATTATACCGTTGCTGTTCTGGGAATAAGGAAACAAACCATTTTTCCCGCTGTATAGTATAAATGTAGAATTGATTCAGAACTCACCACACATGTCTTCAGTTCAGTTTGGCTGCCAGATACAGCTACTACGGTAGCCGGGAACGCCTGTCAATTCAACTTCGCCCACTTATTGTTTTCACTGAGTCAGAGCCAACCGCCGTCCTCCATGGCAGCTTCTGATTGGTCGAAAGGCCTGTCAATCAAGGTATACCTACCGACGTAGACACTCCTGACGTGGCATCAGGATACAGATCCGTAGGCAGCACAGCCACCAGACACACAGCACACGTAAAGTCAACATTACTGCGCAATGCCTAGCCTGTGCCCTCTGCTACTGCAAAACCATGTAAAATAACTTGTCAATAACATTTTAAATTACACAAAGGGCATTATCCGGGTTTTAAGCAATGGCACACTTATATTACGTTAAACCTGCCCTGTAAGTAATAACTCTAAAATTGTAAGTAATACATCTAGATGTAAGGAAGCATACTGTGACAATAAAAAGGCAAAACTGTCAAAACATATTTCAACAAACTTTATTTATATACATACAGTATAATTATTTAAAGGCTTTTTAAGATAAGGTAAGGTTAGTGACTGAAAATGAAAAAGGTGTGACATTGTAAAATAATAATCACCTTTCATTTCAGCTCTACAGCAATCAGTTCCTATGACCAGGCTCTTCTGTCCTATATATTTTCATTTTGTGATCACTGTACAGAAAATAGACATCAAAATCACTGGCATCTGGATGAATAATGAGGACAGCTATGCTGTGCTGCATTCCATTTTATTGTAACTATGGCTTGACTCAAAAGAGTTGGTGGGGGGAGCGAGGAATGTGTAAATGTGGTTTCAGTGCAAGTCACACTTGAGCAGCTTCTTCCTCATCCTCATCCGTCACCTGTGGAAAAAATAACAAGTTCAATTCACATCTTAAGTAGCACAGACTTTCCCAAACCACATATTGCCTTTATATATTAATTAATGTGTACTAATTGTAGATGGCAATTTGTGAGTCATGACACCAATGTGTCTATCCTATAATACAAGAGATTTAAAATGACAGTGCTTATACAACATCAAATAAAATGTATGCAGCTTATTACAACAACAATGAGTCAGGAGAACAAACCTGCTCCACTGATTCAACTTCGGGAACGTAAAACTGCAACATGTTTTGGATTCCACTCTTCAAAGTAACCATTGAACTGGGACAACTGGTGCAGGAGCCCTGCAGCTTCAGTTTAACAATGCCGTCCTCAAACCCCCGATACACTATATCACCTCCATCCTCCTGCACTGTTGGCCTGGGGGAGAAAAACACCAGTGAGCGTGCAGAAAGGACAGGAAGCCATGGTCACAGGGAAAATATACTTATACAGTATCAGAGTGCCTCCTCACAAGCAGCTACCTTATTCGAGTGTCCAGCAGTTCTTTGATCATAGCGACTACTTCATCGTCATCCTCTGATGGTGCTGAGAAGACAAATGGAGATTCCTCAGCATTCACAAATAGTCTTCCAAACTCATTCTGTCTATTGCAGTGTTTTCCCTGCACAGCTGGTTAACATATATACCTGTATCTGCACTTGGTGTGCTGTCCTCATTCACCACAGGAAGTCCAGATGTGAAGAAGTCCATGATGGCAGCAAACACATCTGGCTTGATAACTCTCCATTCCATATTTTCATCAGACTAAATGGAGGCAGAGAGAAAAAACAAATGATTCTCAGCAATGACATTATAATGTGTCACTATGTAAGGGTTATATAAGATTTGACCTGGTTTTACCTTTGATATGGTGATAAAGTCAGAGCCTAGGAAGACACCCGTGACTCCCTCGATCCTAAACAGCTGCCTGAAGACAACACAGGAATTGACTGAGGTTTTGATACATTTTGTGAAATATTACAGAGTTTGACACTTAAAACACTACAATAAGAAATATGTTATGCAAACCAAACCAATAATAGATATTATGCTAAAAGACAGATTAGTTTTACATAAACATACACAGCACCCATGTGTAATATATACATGTCATACGTGTAATGTAATTTACAATGTTATTACAGCATATACAGTAATTATGTTTAGAATGTTTAACAATGAAGTGATTTAAAGGTCAAGGACATGAAAAAAAGCTCAACATTAACTAAATCTACTGATTGCATTGTTTGACACATTCCTTGGCATGGGATTGGCCAGTTTAAGAAGACCCAAGGACAACCAGAGGAGAACACAGAAGTCTTATATTGTCATTTCTTGTTTTTTGAGTACAGATGCAATTGGTTGTCATGCAGTTGAATAACAAACCAAACCCAAGTGCCACTGATACATAGCGTAATGGCTGCATTCCTTTGACTATGAATAGTTGGAACACAGCCAACATCAATAAGCACCACTCAAGTGTCATTTCTGCATTTGCTCCTACTGTGTGTCTAAGTGTCGGCTGTGAACTTGATATATTACTAACGGTTCAGTAATTGTTTACTTAACAAGTAATATACCTGGCTAAGGGTGAGCAATGAGCATCACGAGGGCCTGCAAAATTCATAGTCCCAGATTCAAGAACTGTACGACCGGGAAGAAACTTTAGACTGTTTGGGTTTGGTGTGTCCTGCGTCCGCACAAACATGGTCCTTGCTGGAAAAAACAAAAAATATGTAAATCAGTTAATCATTACTTAGTGTTGTCCCAAGTCAGAAGACCACACGGATCTTGAAGGCATACAAACCAGGAACAATCCAATGGGGGTTTTGTGGCCATCTGTTTTGGACTGCTGTGTTATGTGAAGGCAAGTGCAATCTGGCGCACTGATATGCACTGACTGCAAGACTGGGACAAAACAAAAGAAACATGTAAAGAGTTACAACAGCTTAACTCAACCCTCAATATATGCTGCTAACAATCTGAATATTCAGTGCCCTTGCAACCCTGTTTTATTTCCACCCTCCCACTTCTGTATGTAACAGTTTCTGGAATCAGTTCACTAAGAATCAGGGTTCACACACTTTTTCACCAATGATTTTCCATGACCTTTACCTAATTACTCTTTCTCAGCGGTACCACTAAAAATGGTTTACCCTAACCCATGGAACAGGAAAATAAGGTCTGCATATGAAACATGTTGTGCCTATCTAAAACAAATCCAATAGTAGGCTTACTAACTTCTACAGGCTAAAGCAACTAAAATCTCTCACCAGCAAAATACCTCGTCAGTTAAATGCCATTTTACGTTTCATTACTATACGATACAGTATTTATTATCATTATAGTATTACTATTTCGGCGATTAGATAAAATATAAATTATATTTGATGCAACTTTAGTTACATTTCCATTACTTTTCCAAAACTTGGGGAAAAATATTGTTTTCCATAACTTTTCCAGGGCCTGGAATTAGCATTTTGAACTTCCATTACTTTTCCAGGTTTTTAATGACCGTAAGAACCCTGAAGAATGTTCCAGATTCAAAGATTTTCAAAGCTTTTCTTGTCATATGAACAGTAGCTGCAATGCAAATCTAAATTATATACATGTCAGGAAAAGAAAGAAAAAAAGCTACATGTTGCAGTTTAATCCAATTGAAAGAAATGGTGCAAAAAGGATAATACAACACGTCATTTATTTTAAGGGCAATTCGTTAAGAATAATAAGTAATAGAAGACACAACAATTACATCATGCTTGTTATCATGCTGCTCTGATAGGTGCTATCTTTCTGCGTCACCATGGAACTTAGCTAACTAGCTAGCTGCTCTCAGTTATGTACGTTAGAGGTCGTTGCTCTTGATTTATAAGTATTACAGCAAAATGACAGACATTGCACTTTCACAACTGACAAACAAGGACACTTACGGACGGGAAAGCCTTGCTGAAATTCCCAATAACCTGCCGACCTGCTTGTAAGTCGCCATGTTTGTTATGGTTATTTAAAGGCGGAAGTGTTCTGTCATACATCCGGAAGTGACGCAGTATTATTGTACGTGCTAAATTTCTCCCCCGAAAATCTAACCATCTGCTATCGTCAACAAGCGTACTTTAACAAAAAGCTTAGAGATAACATACAACATGCCGAGTGGTAGAAACTTTAGACAAAGAAGGAACTCTTCAGATGTAGAAGAAGATGAGACAACCAAAGAAGTCAGGTAAAGTATTATTTTGAGACTCTATTTCATGTACAAACATACTAGCTAAATCAACCTAATGTTAGCTAACGGAGCCAACTGCTGCATCCGTTAAAATACATTTAAACAGATGAGGGAGAAGTACTCAGATCTTGTAATAAAGTAAAAATAGAAGTAGCAGATTGTAGGAATACTCTGTCTGAAGTAAAAGTCCTGCATTCATAATGTAGTCAGGTAAAAGTACAACAAGTATTAGCATCAAAATATACGCAGTACCAAAAGTATTCAATATCAAATTGGTCAATTTCAGATTAATATATTATATGTTTTGATTTATATGTATTGATCATAGGTAGTGATGCATTATAAGAGTTTTATTGAAGCTGGTAAAGGTGCAGCTAGTTGTAATTACTTTGTATACTGTGGGGTAGATTGTGAATGTAACTTAAGTTGATTATATTTCACTTCATTAATCCAAATCTGTGAAGTAACTAAAGGTACAAATTAATGTAGTGGAGTAAAAGTAAACCATTTAGCTCTGAAAAAGTAGTGAAGTAGAAGTACAAAGTAGCATAACATGTAAGTAAATACTCAAGCAAGTATCTGGAGTACTTGAGTAAATGTACTTAGTTACTCCCAGCTCTGCCGTTAAAATACATTTAGAAACCCTAACTACGTTTTTCATTGATGGAATTGTTGTCTGTGGTGTGAATGTTATTGTCTCAACTAATATCATTTAAAATATATGTGTATTTCTTGGTCGTTTAGATCGAAAGTAGAGGAGGCTAAGGAGCTTCAGAGTTTGCGGAAACGACAGACTGGAGTCAGGTAATGTGAATGAAGCACTTGTAATGCTGTTTATAATAAAGCATAATGGAATATATGGGATTTAACTTGATCTTGATATTCCCTTTTTGTTTCAGTGTGTCTGCCCTGCTGATCGGGGACTTACTGCCACCAGAGAACGATGCTGATGTAAGTAATCTGTTTGGATCTGTTCATTTATTTGGATTGAATCAAAATGGTTTTAACAGCCATTTGTATACATCGTTGTTAAAGTATTTATTTGTTTACAGGATGACCCTTTTAAATTGAAGTCTGGAGGGGTTATAGACATGAAGAAAATCAAAGAAAGGAATATGGGCCTGTAAGTAAATCTGTGGCAGTCCAATTAATTGCGTCAGTGTAAAACATTGTGTAGGCACTTGAATGTCATTACATAATACACCATGCCTTTCATCGCATAGGACAATGATTTGACTTGAGCTACATTTTGTTCCAAATGCAGGACAGAGGAGGAGACGGACCTGAACCTCGGCACTTCCTTTTCTGCTGAAACAAACAGAAGAGACGAGGATGCAGACATGTATGTTTATTTTGTATTTCTTGAATTCAGAAATTTCCAGACCAGTGGTTGCGTTAGACTTTTTCGTAGGATCGTAACATTTCCGTCATAATCCATTATTACCCGTCATTTTATTTTTCATGTTTTAATGATGATATGAGACATATTTCATATTTATGTTTGGGTACTGAGCAGCAAATGTTCATTCATTCATTGTTTTTTATGATTCATACAGAACTTTTAAGGGCATGGACAAAAAAAAAGATGAACAGAGACACCGACCGTGTGGTCACTTTTCATGTCAACACGAACATGAATGATTTATTTTTTCCTGCACTGACAGCACAGCAGAGGGGGGCAGAGGCCGCTAAAAACACCGACCATTGTGCCTAAACAGGCAAATATGAACAATGCCATAGTTTTAAATGAGACAATTACAATCAGAATATGAACAAAACATTTACAAGAACAACTCAATTGATCTGCTGTAGCCTGAACGCTGATTTCTGCATCGTTGTGCACCCTCGGACAAATCCGTTACTCATCTTAGCTTTTCTACAGATGTCGCAGAACATTTTGCCATCTTCCCTCCTC